AAATTGGGAACAGAAAGAGAAAGACCGTGGCATGAAAGAAGCCGTGTAATCACAGCTTGTTTCTCAGGCGCCCCAGGAAATCTCTCACAGGAGTGCAGCCTTTCTGAAACATGTCAGTGGTCGATAAAGCTGGAGGGGAGGAAGCTGAAACCAATTTTTGTCAGATGAGTCAGTCAGCTATAGAGGTAGGCTTTGTTGAGAGGATTACTGCAAGAGTATCATTTATGCAGCACGGTTACACGAATCTGTGAAATTAGCACTGAAGTAATATTGCGGTCTCCAACCATAAACTGGACTACGAGACAGTAGCTGAGCAATGTGTTTAATATACAGTGCTACTTTAAGGGAGAATTCCACTGTCATTTCATAAGTTGCTCACCTTTTACATTCTCCTTTTTACTTTAACCGGTTGTGCCAAAGCTCATTCCTCATTCACTCATATTCAATCCGACGTTCTTAGAAAACAAATGTGAGACTAATTATAAGTCAGTCACTCCATCACTGTGAAGAGAAAGGTGATCACATCGTGCAAAATGTCATTTTGCACGCAGCTTTGTAATTCTCAACATTTTTGGAGAAGTTTCTGTGAGAGCATTACAGTAATTCTCTCATTTCTCCCTTTCCTCTTAAAACTTAGACCAAAATCCTTCTCTGCAGTTACTTTAGGACCCAGGAAATCTATTACAATGCATCCAAACCAGCCAGCAAATGAAAGCTGCATCTTGACTGTACACCATTATGGCTTACAAGTGGCTTCCTCTTCTTTTGGGCACCCAGTATATTGAAGTTTTTAAGTATTTTTCAAAACAACTTATTCATGAATAACCCTACAAAGATAAGATGTTTACATGATAATGAATGGGAACTGAATGGAATAAACTAACAAGTACCTTATCAATAGGGGAATCATGACACATTGGCACACAAACACAGAAGATTACTCACAGTTTGGGCAACTAAAACAAAAACGGTTTTAACTAAGTTTTTATGAAATGTCTTTAGTGCAAGGAAGGTAGATTGTATTTTATGATATTCTGCACATTTCACAAAACGAACTAACTGCAGTCATCAATGCTAACGTCAGCATGCAAACATGCTCACAATGACAATGCTGTGCTATTGTTTAGCAGGTACAAAGTTTCCCATGTTCACCATCTTAGCTTTATCTATTAGCACTCCAATGCTAAAACATAAAATACAACTGAAGATATTTCATTCTGGACCAAAGTGCCGTGCTGACCAATCGACAGACAACCCTAGCCACCCAGAGCAACGCCATAATAAAAACAGTAGGTGTGCAAATGAGTAATTAATCAAACTGAGAGTCATCCTCACTAGCAACACATTGCATCTTACAAATTAGACATGTAGCAATTTTATCCAGACCAATTTCAAATAAGTGGGTGTTCAACTATCAGCAGGGTAATTATCCACCACCGAGGTATTTCAGAGTACTATAAAAACAGTGAGATTAATTAAGACTGTTATAAAAGCAGCAGCAGCAGACACCTGTGGGTTGCACTGTTTTGTAACTGTTTTCTCTCCCTGTGAGGAGCTGCAGCACAAGGAGGGCCTCTGTGTTTCCTCAGCTGGTGCTCTAGATTCTGTTCCTCACATGTGAAAAGTGTCATGTGGATGTGTATTGAGCTGCAGGTCATTTAACTCCTATCTGCGAGGATGCTTTCAGGTTGTGCCGTTTAAACACCACATACCCGCTCTTTATGACCATAATGATTTGTGGCTTTTTGCTTGTGACTGTTTGTGTTAGCCGCGTGTTGACAGTCAGTGGTTTGGATGGAAAGTTTTCAATCCTCTTGTAGGTATGAAACAAAGTGAAGCAGTTGATAATAGCACGATACAAGGTGTATTGCTTCCAAGCCAAAACGTTGATAAGGAACACACAAATGAAGCAGCTCTATCAGAGGCTGAGCTGTGTACATTCCCTATCGACTTGATGGGAGCAGTGTCAGGTGTCGCGGCACATTTCATTTCCAGCTCACATGCTCGTCATATTGCTGACGGGGGTGAGCGGCTAAGAGCCTCGCTGACCTTGGCCCTTACTTTCACCTTTTGACAGATGAAAAAAATGTTGCTGAGCAACAGCTATAGCTGTCCCTGCCAGCCAGAGAATTAGTTTTACCCGCTGCCCGTTCCAGGAATATAAATGACCATTTGTTGAACATTTTAATTATATCTTCGAGACTAGATTCATGACAGTATATTCCAATATGGCTAATAACTGTTGATGGATCGCCTGGCTTGGTGACTAAACAATGAGGGTTCATCCAGTCTCATTTCTTTATGAACGTTGCAGTTATTTGAAAGGTTAATCGATCTCGTTTTCAAAGCAGTTTCCTGTATTAAGGAGCTAACAGTGAATGGCAGATGACCCTCGGGCGTTTCACAGAAGATCAAGCCAAATTTCCACTCATGATGTCCATCTCAAGCTCGTTCTCTTTTCATTGTCATTCATCAGTGTACATAGTTTGCATATCAGAAGCATGGCTGGAGCAGGAACTGTTGTATTAAAGTAATCCTGGTAACATATTTTTCAAGGGACTGTATGACAATGAGAAAAGGGGGTTGGGTTAGTTATTTTTGCTTTTCGTTGTTTATGTTGATTTAATTTTATTACATTCTTCCCTTGTGAGATTTATGGTTTAATTAGAAAGCTAAATCTCAACAAATCCATCTGAATACATTTTGCTAAATAAATAAAAAAAATACGGAGTTGCTTGATGTTTTTGTGTAGCCTACCATCTTCTTATGTTTGCCATAAATATATTGTCTTGAGCCCCTTAACGCTTTCGAAGTAAAGATGCCCCTCATACTGGCCGAGTTCGCCACAGACCAGCAGGCTTCCCAACGTAGCATTGATCTGATAAATAAAAGCAGGGTAGCAGTGGAGAGCCTCTTTCATTTACTCAACCAATAATAGCTAGACAAGTATTACCTTGGTCAGATCTCTACACCGTCTCCCTCAAAGCCAAATACCAGGTTCAATAAACCGTTGTGCTTGCTGACTCAACATTGACCAAGGACTCAGACAAAAATGTTGCTTTAACAAATTTCAGCCTGAACTGATGTTGTTTGGCTCGTTTGTGGTTCATGTCGTTCATGGTGGTTCATGGTGGTCTTTTTGTTTGTTGGTTAGTTAGGGGTCATTTTGTGGTTCCAGCTGGGTGAAACCACATCACTTTGCAGCAAGATGGTATTTCCAAAGTCATTTGTGTTAAATAACCATGATCTCAATATTGACCAAAAGTAATCATGATTATGATTTTTGCCATAATCCCTACTCGTGTTACCTTTTCAGTTTTGCAAAATGCATGTGCCTGTTGTGACCGTTCTGTCCTCTCGAGTTCACCTCCATCGGTGACAAATGGGAACGATTTGTTTTACAGTACTTTCACAAGGCTATAACGTCATAGAAACTCTTACATGTGTACAATACCACAGCTAACAGTAATCTGTCAAAATGACTTTTCCGGACAAAAACAAGACATGTTGTCTCAATAATCTGGTCCAGCCTGCAGGTTAGTTAATTCTTCATCACAAAGGTCAGAGAGTGGAGCCGGCCTCAGGCCTCGACATGCTGAATCCCCTTCAGACACAGACTAAGCCTGACAGACATACCTTCCGTAGCATATACGCTGAATTGACAGATAATTGCAAGGATGAGTGAGAGTCAGGCGGGTGGCATCTCATCGGCAGTAAAACAAATGGTGTTGGCAAACTTGTCTGTCTGGATTGCTTGAAAAGAATTCATTGGCTGTTTGACCTCAAAGAACTGTTGTACTGTACTGCAGTTTGTCACTGTATGTGAAGTATGTATGATTTGATGAGCCTGATCTAGTTGTGTATGTTCTCCCTGCAGAGAGACTAAGCAGCAGATAAATACAAGTTAATGTAAAGAAAACACACTTCAAGCCTTGAGTAAGACCACACTTATTAAACACTAACATGAGAGATTGACCTTCACTGTAACTGGTGGGATTCCGGGCCAAAAAGTACTTTTCCAACATTACCTCTGCCTGAATATAACTGGCTTTTTGCGTTGAATTAGATCGATTACCTTAAGAGTTGGAGAACTGTAGGCTGTAGAGGGATTCCCTGCTTCCACGGACAATATATTGTCTTATTATACTGCAGGGGTCTGGAAGTAAAATGAAATGGTGGTTGATTTGTGAGCCTTGTTACAGATAACCAACCTCAGTTGGCCAGGAGCTTCTGTAATTGCCATTGATAGCAATTTCAGCTGAGCGGAGAACTGGCCTGTCTAACTGGCTGTGCTCATAAATCACAAAGATTATTTGTGTAATTGCATTTATTGTTAATACTGTATAACGTCTGGCCCAGCAACAATAACTATAATACCTATTTAAGAAACCCTTTTTTAAAAAGTGAAGCCAATGTGGTAGTGACTTAAACCTGCAGTCTTTCAAATGGCCATCAGGGGGGCGACTCTGCAAAAAGAAGTCTGATTGTATAGAAGTCTATGAGAAAATGCCCCTACTTTCGCTTTATTTATTATCTCATGAGTTCATGATCTCAATCGTTACTTTTAAGTCTTCTTCATGATGTTAATTTAGTAAGTTATGATCCCATTTAGATAAAAATAGACGATACAAAGTAAATGTTGTGCTTTAGGGCATGGTTACCTTTTGATTGACATGTCGCTACCACAACCTTTTCTAGTGTGGGAGTTGTCTGTGTTGTTGTCTTAGAACTTTAACCCCTTCACAGTGTTTTAAGGTCATGAAAGTTGAAAAATTCTTGTTAGCGTTCAGCCTTACTTAGCTCCACCCATTAATGTCACTCCTGTTTGCAAAAAGCTAAGATGGCAACCGGCAAAAACCAAGATGGCGACAGTCAAAATGTCGAACTCAAGGCTTCAAAATGGCAGTCCACAAAACAAAGGGTGACGTCACAGTGGCTAGGTCCACTTGTCATACACAGTTTATGCTTAGGCAGCTTTGTCATGTATGTGTATGTAACATAGTTGAAGAGGTTCAGGTTAAATCCCGCTAAATGGGAAAAGTACGCCACCTGCTGTTGTAAATGTGTACCTGCACTGAATGGTAGACGCAAAGGACTATGGGTAATCCTGAACGCAACGGAGGATTTACTGAAAGGTAACGGGTCCGTGAATGTCCGTGGACAATATAATGATAACTAACTTTAAAAGTACATAACGGTTGAGCTGGCTTTATTTTGTTGAATATTATGTGTCTTAGATAATATTCGCCATGTTTTTATTAAGTTAACTATACGTTTTTACGTGTTTTATTGCCAGTAAAAATGTCTCCAATACAGCTAACGTTAGCTAACACTAACTTGATGCCGTCTTTCTAGACAGAGCATGCGCAGTTGTCCGCAAGATGACCCATTCTTCTATGTTGTCCTTTGTCATAAATGCAGGTATGTTACAGTATGTTCTATAGAGTGTGATACTATTTTAAACATGCTGATGGAGTCTATAGTCTACATGTTTACTCAGTTATAGAATTGTTATTATAAAATGAAAAAGGTAACAGTTCAGTGTGAGAAATCTGTATAAATATATTTTTGGTTATATATACTTTTGTAATTCTCATACATTTAAGAGAGACAATTTATGTTATATTTCGGCTATTTTATTTACATGAAATTAAACCCACTATACGATCACTGTATCAATGTCACCACTGTGTTAGTGTATTTCAAAATGGGTAATCCTGAACGCAACGGAGGATTTACTGAAAGACAGAGCATGCGCTGTTGTACGCAAGATGACCCATTCTTCTATGTTGTCCTTTGTCATAAATGCAGATGTGGAATAAACCTGCTGTTACCACAAGCCTGACCAGCTCCAGGAGATTCATTTAGCCAGGAGACATCTCACAGAGGTTACATGTATACTAGACAGTAAGGGAAAAGAGCTTTGAAAAGAGCAGCCTTATCAGTGGTAAGGTCGATCTAATCATTTTGTAATCAGCAGACATAACATTAACACAATTATATCTATTATACTGGGTCTCATGAATGATGCTTTACTGATAATTTGCTTAATAATGTCATAACTTGTTATGCTAAATTTCTTCTTTACATTAAAATAATTACATTTATTTATTCAGGATGGGCCGAATACAGAACATGTTTTGCATTGGCTTATTAAAATGACTGAATATGGCCCTGCCATCTCATTTTGTGTAAATTACCTTTTTTCAATTACATCAAAGTAACAATTAGGAGCGTGAAGAAAGGTCATATGGGTATGAGACTCTGGATGTGATTTTCTAAGAGTTGGTGCAAGCAACCTTTGTGTTCTCTGTTTTTTTTATTTTGCAAATTCAAAAGGTAATTTATTTAATGATACTCATCTCCAAGGCAACGCCTGGGGACAACAGTTAGTTCACTACCACTGAGTATGTTATTGTTAAAAATAAATACATGGAAGGCTTAGCTGAGACCCAACCAATACAATATTCTGAAACACATAGTAGTCAGCAACAAGTATGACAACTTCACACAAGAGCAGGACTGCCTAAGGGGCCGTTTACATGTAATTGACGTCTAAAAACATGTGGAAAACATCAGCCGGGCCACTTTCATCCTTTTATCCAAGATGTTTGGGAGTTTGCGCTCCAGTTGCGGCCACCGTTAACCAAAATCTGTGCGCTGCAATGACGATGGTGATGAAGTTGCGGTAATTTAGCAGCAAGCCTTCCTGCATTTCCAGACATGTAAATCCATCACAGGAGGAACCCTGAAAAAAAAGACGCTTTGGGGCTTGCACACTTCAACGGTGTCGCTCTTACTCTTGAGATGTGCCTTCCGTGTGGCTTCATCGACAACAATGGTGATGATGATTTAAAGTAACTAACTATTCCACTCACTTTGATTTTGCTGTCCACTTCTCATTTACACCATTGTAATCCTCGATCCTCGTGGTGAAATAAAGGGTGAGGACGATTGAATCAGTTCATGCCCTCATCTTGTCTTCGTCCTCAGTTTGTGATTTACCATATGAGATTATACGTTAATGCTCTTATCTCGCTGCAAGACATTGACAGTTTGAGGGAAGAGTTCTTTTTTTGATAAATGAAGCACCCACACATTTTTTACTGAACTTCGTTCAAAATGATTAAGACCTTGTCAGACTGGTAAAACGTGATCCTTTCAATTTAAGGATTCAGCCACTGCATCGCTGCTTCTCTCCCCGTTCCAGCTTCCCAGAGGAGTTGCCTGTTAACTGGGCTGCACTGGCTGTTTTTCAGCATCATGAGGGAGCACTGCGAGGCAACACCACCTAATTGGCTTTTGTGACAAGAAAGTTACTTGTAATCAGAGCTTGTAGAAGAGTTCTTAAAACCGCAGAGCCAAACTAAAGATAAACACGTGTAAGGGGCTGAGGGGCAGGGTATTCAGAGGCACCATATACATTCCTGACAGAGGGCTCCACCCACTCCCAGAGGAGAGCATTGGGATCAGGTGTGGGAAGAGTGACACCTGGATCTGATCTCCTCATCAGGGAGGTAAAGGAAGGACAATTAGAGAAGCTGATCTTGTGACATGCTGAGAGAGGAGGGGAGTCTCTTCTCCTCAGGATCTCCAGGGTGTTGGATATAGTTGGAACTGGTAAATCGGTTTGCAGCCAGGCAGAGACTGTTTAGATTTTTCTAGTTTTGATACAGCTCTTGGCTGAGCTAGATTTTTTGTTTTGTTTGTGGGACTTATTTAATTAAAGACCCTGGTAACAGCTGCTCTGACTCTGTCTTCGATTGCTGTTGTAACCCACCTGTGAGGTAAGTTCTCACTGGACAAGTATCTAGATTTGTAAGGAGAGGTAATGAACAATAATAGGATACCACAATGAGTAAACAGAACGCAGAGTTAAGTTTAGAGCAAGATGATTGCAATAACATACATTTAGTAGAACAACTTTAGTACTGCTGGCATTCAACCTTTTTCTGTTTGAAATGTCTTTTAAACTGGGTGCACCCTAAATGAAATAAAATGTTTCTCCTCCCAAAGGAAAAAGAATGTTCTCTGAGGCCTCTCCACTCAGTCCTACCACACTGATAGCAAGGCAGGTGAAGAATTTCAAGGGTCCTTAATCTAGTTGTTTACATGGGTGGCTCGCCATCCCCCTCGTCAGGGAGAAAATCCAATCCAGTGAGGAGTCCAAAATCCAATCCAGGATTCAGGGGTATCCAAAAACCTAGCCGAGAAAAGAATAAAATGAGGGTCCAGTGTTCTCAGGGTCTTTCAACATCTGACTGAACTATGACTTATTCAATTAATTTCAGTGTCTCTGACGTCGTTCTCCATACTTCGCTTGGCCTCAGGTCAGACTGCGTCTCTCTAGTCTGAGCGAAGGAGGCGGGACTTATGCCATTTTGCACCTATGGTAATCACTTATTCAATCTTGAACCAATAACTTTGGCTGTTAAAGTTTCTTCCAATAGAACCCATACACTGCAAAATTAGACCTCTGAGCTAAAACTGAATAATAAATTAAATACCAAATAAAAGATGTGGTCATTTCCCAATTAACATAATGATCAGTGAATGGAGATAATCCTAAATATTATAGTAACTTTTTTCCAATGGGTTACACTGTGCTGCCACTATTTTCCTTGTCCTCTGTGGAATCCTGTTCTACATGGCTAAGTCTTGGTCTGCAACAGAAACTCCCAATTTCTCTTCTGCGGCTTTCTTTAACTAGCCCGCTTTCATCAATTAGTGTGTGAATGACATGACATAAGTCCCTTTGCTTGCAAATAGACCGCCTGTCAGTACGCCATGTAACCTAGTCTGTACTCACGATGTAAACACATCTGTGTGAATATGCAACACTCTGAACAAGTGATGGGCTATAAATTGTGAGTGAGACAACTTGGGCCAAACAATCGCAGGTCTTGAGACCAGGGCCCCGTTCCTCGTACGTGGTTCAACTAAGTCGATCAAATGTCCTATTAGCCAGCTTAAATTAACCCGATGATTGAAATCAGGCTATCTCGGTTTCTCAAAGGCTGATCCGCGCGCAAACAATCTCGTTAATTCAAACCAGACCTCAGTAATCAGGATAATTGCGCGTGCCCATCCTACTTCAAAAGGGGGAAGCGTCGATCACCGAAACCATGATTTTCTAATGGTACAATGGAAAATCAACGCAAAGTAAGAGCCTGTTTTTTCTTCGCTGAGGAGCAGGAGATGATCATGAACACATATGAGGAATTCAAGACTGTAATCATGGCAAAGTCTACCACCGCCACCGCTGCGAGGGCTAGACAAGAAGCATGGCAAAAGATCGCAGACAATTTTAAATGCTTAAGTGTTGGGAAAATGTATAGGCTAATTTTAAGTGCCTCATCACCCCAATCAATCAGATTTTATTTCTTTAAATGTGCCTGCTGGCAGCAGGCTTAATGGAATGCATCATCGAACGAGATCTATAGCGAAAATAATGATCTCAACTCTTTCAGAATAAGTAGATAAAACAAGCCCAAAGAGTATCTAATTGATACGAATTAATGAGGATATATGTACTGTATGCCCTTATGTATCATGTAGTGTATATGTGTATATACATGTATGTGTAGATTACCATATGGAACTTGGAGTTTGAATATGCAGCCCCCACAGACATGTGAATCTGGCCTTCAGTTGGCCGAAGGTCATTTCAATCCGGGCTCTCGTTCGAGCAAGAGCCCTGTTGAAACGGGCCTCGTGCTGGCTCTGCATAGGGGGTCATGAGGTAGGGCTTGCAGGCATAACCCCTGTCTCCAATTAGGAGTCCATCGTAGTGACCTAGTATATGATATGTACAATGTTAGATCACCTCTACATAAAATAAGCAATTTCTGAATGACATGAGATTTGCTATACCTTGCTCGAAGCTGTGGCACAGTGTAGACACTCGGAATAATCTGGCATCGTGGACGGAGCCCGGCCACTTGGCCTCAACATTTGTTATGAGGCAGGTGGAGTCACAGATCATCTAAGATGAATTGCGATCAAGTCATGGGTATTGTACAGTACATGGGTAGCCTACAGCAGGCAATTGCAAGGTCCATGACCCCTATTGTCAAAGACGTATGATTGTTTTCATAGCAATGTAATTTGAGGAAAAATGTCATAAGTACCTGCACATTAATGCTGTGAAAGCCTTTTTGATTGACAAAATCTGCCTCGTTTGGGACAGAGGGCGATTTGATGGGGATCTGCGTGCAGTCCACTGCGCCAATGACATTGGGAAACTCTGCATAATGATAAGCTCCGTAATGAATAGTGATAGGAATGCATTTTCATTAAATGGTGAAATATTGAATAACTCAATTACCTGCAATTCCATAAAAGCCCTCTTTGATTGAATTTACTCGGACATGGCCAGGGAATGTAATGAACACATCCATAAGTTTCTTCAGCGTCAATGAAACTTTACGAACGGCACGGCATGCAACGGCTTTCCCAATGTTCTCCGCATCGCCGACACTGTACAAAAATGTACCACTCGCAAAAAAACGCAAGGCTGCATCCAGTCTGTGGGACAGTCAATGCTCGGCTGCGGCGTGTGGTGTTCGCAATGTATGGCTCGAGAAGGTCTTGTAAATAAATGATTCCTTGTTGGCAGAATTGATAGCACTCGTATAGGAAGTCATCATGATGCGATAACGGATCTTGGCGATCTCGAAGAACTCTCCCTATAAAACGCTAATCTAACTAATATCGCTCCTTCATCAATGGGATCTCTGAGGAAGTGAGCTGCCATTTTTTTCCAGGGGTGTGGCAAGCTTATCCAGCTACCTTAAGTTAGCCTGCGCTGGAGCAGGTTCAAGCTTATGGATGTGT